ATTGCAAAAAAGGACTATAATTAAGAAAAGTAGTACATGTCAATGTGAGTGGAATGCGCCAATCTAAATAAAATATGCCCTATTCCCACTTCCTCAAGCATGCCTTATTCCATCGACTGGCAAGTTGATGCTTACTTCAAGGCAACAAAGCCTAGCTTGAATGATGCAACTCTAGCTACAGTCATATATGGATGAATCCAATGATGAATAACATTGCTAAGCACAAAAACACGCCTTCAAAATTATTAAATTATGCCCATAGGTTGCAGAATGTCTAAGCCATTTACCAAGAGCTCATGAATTCAATGACCATGTCAACTATTCAATGGAGGTGTATATTGTTGACATGTTATCAAAAGAATCAAACTGATTTTTCCTTATAAATCTTGAATAGTGCTTTGGTATTTTCCATCAAACAATACTAGTCTAAATCCATTATTATATATCCATGTAATTTGAGAGATCCTTTACCATTACTTAGCTATTTATCTCTATGCTCTGAGTTTTGTTCTAGCAAGAGAAAAAGTGAAACATCATAACCAATCTCTTATATTGACATAAAAAGCATATACACTATGGTTAACAAACCTGCTTAAACCCTTGCATTCCAAACAAGAAACCTCCCACCTTACTTCCAAGCTCAAGCCATAAGAGTGTTCAATCAATTGACTCTCAAAGCAATTTTACCAAGACAACCAAGTGTTGGTTGAGTTTGGAAAGTTAAACATTCACTTCCTTTAGCATCGAACACCAGATTGCAAGCTTAGTGAATTTCATAATTAAATTCATCCTTCCACCCAAACCATCTGCTATCATTAATAAAGTCATCATACACTTGGACATATCCATAAGCACAACATTAAGAAAATTTGGAGTATGGGCTTAAGCTGATGTTCCAAGTAATAAAAAATCCAATTAAATATGGGGATACACAACAACAACAAGCCTTTATCCCACTAAGTGGAGACGGCTACATGAATCTTTTTTTCTCCATTGTGTCTTATTCAGTGTCATATTTTTATTTAATTCTAACAAATTAAGAGCTTTTTTTATACAATAAGCCAAAACCTTTTTAGGTCTACCTCTGCCTTTCTTAGCGTAAGTCGAATCTAAAACATATACTCTCCTAAACAGATGTAAAATACAAGGACAAGATCATAAAATTGACTTAATAGTTGATTGAGTTGACCATTTGATCATACATATTGAATCCCAAATCGAAGGAAAATTTGACGTTAAGAATGAAAAAGAACTATAAGTATTGGTCTTGTTGAAAACATTAATGACTAAGCTACAAAAGCATTAAATAGGTCACATTCCATGAGAAAAAATATGAAAGCTGACTCACCCTCTAAACTCATTGTATCACCATTAGGTGAGACAACACAACCTTCAAAAAATTTGGAGTATGGGCTTAAGCTGATGCTTCAAGTAATAAATAATCCAATAGAATAAGAGGATATGATCATACAACATTGACTTATAATTGATTATTGAGCAGATCATTTGACCATACATTTTAAATCCCAAATGGAAGGAAAATTTGATGTTAAGAATGAAAAAGAACTACAAGTGTTGGTCTTGTTGAAAACATTGATGACTAATCTTCAAAAGCATTAAAAGTCCACATTCCATGAGAGAAACATATGAGAGCAAACAAACTCTCTAAACTCATTGTCTCACCATTAGGTGATCAATTCCGACAGAGAATGATCAAGGAGCACCCCTTCCCCAACAATCAGGGACCTGACCATGGCAGGTTAACACATTGGAAGGAGAAGAACCTTCTTGGAAAAAGCAATCTTGCTTTCTTACTAAAAGATGAGCCAACTTTTTTATAATTCGTACAAAATTCAATAGATATGCATTCCCAAAATTAGAGATTAAAATTTTTCCATCCTTCCGAGGTAGACTACTCCTCTCAACAAAATCAAGCCAAAGTATTTATAGGGAACACATGGGGGAAAGCCATGCTCTTCACATCCATCACCAGATATTTTATTGACGAACGATAAAGAAAGGTGCACTCAATTTTGTAAAATTATACCATAACTACCACTTTCATGCCAATAAATTCTATTCAATGTTAGCAAAACTAACCTTTTTTGCAAAGCTCTTGTCCTTTGTAAAATGAATAATGACATCATATGTCCTTTTCCTCCAACAACAAGACAGAGGAAATTTTTCATCCTAGCAATGGACCGAGCGCATTGCCAAGTGAGTTGAGGTAGAACCTATAGTTAAAATACCTTATGCCAACGCCAAGTAATTCATATAGAACAATATCAGAAGTTCCATCTCTCCGACATGGTTGTATTCACTCCATCTTGCCATGACTTTTAAATCATATTTATCTATATATTCATAGCCAAGTGGGCAAGAAAAGGTCATTAGCAAAAAAATCTAGATTGGGGTTGGTTTGTTGAAGAAATGGGTTGATGAATTGCCTCATGTGTTTTGGGCTTATCAAACAACAGTTAGAATGCCAACAAAATAGACCCATTCAACCTATACTTTGAAATGGAAATCATCAATCTCATTAATATTAGAACTTTGAGAGAGTATGAAGAATTATTCTTACCGATTCATGACTCAGAATTCGTGACAACCCAAATCTTCTCCTTGAAGTTCACAGGGTCACACGGTACATGCCATCTCTTATCAGCTAGTGGTTTATTACTAAAATTGAAAGTTGATGATTTCACCCTTTAGTTGTTAGATACTTGGTACAATAAAAAACAATTCATTTTCATACATAATGAATTTCTCTGCACTCCTATACCCTTTCATATTCACTGATTTCCCGTGCTTGCTAGTGGTGGTGCAAGTTTTGTTAAGAACCAATAGCAAGAAAGATGGAAAAGGGGTTAAAGGTTCCCACGCCAGTTTGGAGGAGGGGGGCTGCTGGACTTCTGATCCAAAACTTGGGAATATTGTGAAGCTGTTGTGGCCAGAAAGCAGGGAGAGAATACCATCACTATCCAGTGCCAGGAAGAACTGTTAAAGTCATGACTTGCTGAAGTTTAACAAGCTTGGTGATGAGGGGACTATCAAAAAACTGCATTTTGCCTTGTGGACTGCATTTGGAGAAGCATCTTAGGAGTAAATCCAATGATAGCAAGAAGCACAGAGACTAATCAAGAAAAATTATGAGAAAGGTGGGCCTTCATAGTGACATTTATGTGTTTATCAAGAAAATTTAGCTGCAATTTTTGCTACAAGTGATATCAAAGACAGATAAAGAAGGAACCAAATTAAGAAATCAAGTCTATAGCCAAGATTGAAACGAAAAAAGCATTGGCTCAATAACTTAAACTTTTGAAGGCTACAAATGACGGAACTTCTTGCTTTGAATGCAGCTTTAACAAAGGAGACAACCATGAAAATGGGGGCAAAAGGGAGATTTGGGAGGAGTTTTTAAACAAATCTCACAGGAATATCCTGGAAACTTGACTATGAGAGGCTTCATGAAGTTGTGGATGGATAAACGAACATCAGCATATGGAGAAGGTTAAAATCCTTAGATATAAAGAATTCTTTTCCCAAACTTTTGAACATCAAGAAGTAAATGTGTATGTATTGCAAATGGAGGTGCGGGAATTGATGAGGAAGATCAATCAATTATCATCATAAGTTCATTACCAAGTAGATATTACAATTTGTTGATATTGTATTTTATGAAAAATATTTTTAGCTATTTTAAAAGAAAAGGCTGGACTAAACTCAAAGTAAAAAAAATTGGATCTTATCAAGATAGTGCAGATAAAAAGCTAACTGCGAAGAGGACAGTTCAAGAACCAATCAAGATCTAAGTCAAAGGAAATAAGAAAATATTTTTTTTTTGTCATAAAGAAGATCATTTCAAGCAGTGTCCAAAGAGAAAATACATTAGCTAATAAATTTATTAGAGCAAAAGGATATGTTGTAATAAGAGAGGAAGGCTATGGCTATGTTGAATTCTTCTCAATCTTAGCTTCAAATCCAACCAAGCAATAAATCATAGAATACAAATGATCCAACCACATGTGTCAAAACAGTAGTTTATTTGATCACTAAATGGAAAAGAATGTGTATCTTGGAAACAGCAAAACATACAAAGTTCAAAGTGCAGGAGCCATTTGATTTAAACTCCACAATGACATGGAAAGACTACTTAGAATATAAGAAATGTTCTTGAATTTATAAGGAATTTGATTCTCTTGATGAATTAGACCACAAAGAAAAACAGTATTAAATGTGATTGTGAAAACCCAAAGGTGTTCAGATGCTCTTTAATTTTCATGAAGGCATTCAAATGAATGAAGTGTATGCATTGCAGGGTAAAATTGTGATTAGGACTTGTGTTAGCATGTCATGTAATTTTGTTGACGAAGTTGTGGTACAAAGATTAAAACATGTAGACCTAAGACTGCTAGACAGCACAACCAGGTTTGTTTCCCGCCTTTAAACATAAATCTAAGGAAATTTAGATTATAAGCTCTTAGGTCTACATGTTTCCCGCCTTTAAACATCTAGACCTAAGACTGCTAGACAGCTCAACCAGGTTTGTTTCCCGCCTACGAAGGATAACAGTATTAAATGTGATTGTGCAAACCCAAAGGTGTTCAGATGCTCTTTAATTTTCATGAAGGCATTCAAATGAATGAGGTGTATACATTGCAGGGTAAAATTGTGATTAGGAGTTGTGTTAGCATGTCATGTAATTTTGTTGACAAAGTTGTGGTATCAAAGATTAAAACATGTAGACCTAAGACTGCTAGACAGCACAACCAGGTTTGTTTCCCGCCTTTAAACATAAATCTAAGGAAATTTAGATTATAAGCATTCATTAGATTTTTGGGGGTCCTGTAAAAGGTGAGCCAGAACAAAACAACGCCCCAAGAACAGAATCAAATGTATAAATCTTGTAAACTATAAAGGTATTATTTATAAAACAAAGAAACACCCCAATAACAGATGGACTTTCACAATTAATTGAAGAAAGAAAAAGATAATCATACCTCTCGAACATCCTCAACAAAAGCTTCATGTGAAGCACCATATGACCCAACATCCAATCTTAAATCTATAGTACGGAAGTCCAAAGGGCGAGAAACCATGGCCGGTGACCCAAGAATACCTTCATCCTCATTGTCATTGGGGTTCAATAAGGAAGTACCAATTAAATTGCAGAATACTTTTGATTCATCACCCAATATAGCAGTGCGAAGCACAATGCGACATTTTTTCATAATTGCATCTGACACAGAAATGGGGCACTTCTCTTTCTGCCTCTTGCAGAACTTCTGATGTACACTTCCTGCAGTTGCCTGGGCCAAAACAGACAAAACAGCTTTCTGCACCAAAACCAATCAGAAAAGTGGGATTAAGCATAAGGTTTACCAAAAAAGACATAATTGCTAAAGTAAGTAAAATAGAGGTCGAAACAAGCAAAATGGCAATGAAAAAAGCACAGCTATAGTGGTGACATGAATGTACAAAAAAAGAAACTCGTCTGTGTAAAGGGAGACAACATAGAAGTCAAGTTCTCCAAAGAATTCAGTAGATCTTTCTGTTAAGATTTTAAAAAGCGATGAAACAAAAGCTAATTAACCTTGGTAGGCCCTGATGCATTCCCTTTGTAAACCTCCTTACTGATTGAATGCTGCAAAATTTCCTTTGCCCATTCCGGAGGATCCTTCTCAAGAGAATTATGGATGCACCTTCTGATCCTAGTTCCAACGTTAGTAGGTAGCTTTCTAACGGGTTCTAAAGGTTGTGCCCATTCAGGAAGTCTGCTTCCAGCAGTATCAGCAGTTGACTCACAATCACCTACTGGATCAGAATCCATGAAATCAACTCTCAAAACTTCATCATGTTTTGCTGAATCAGATATTTGCCTTTCAGCCTCTGCAAGCAGCTGATATTTTTACAAATTAGTAAACCTAATGACCTGCCAAGTATCTCAAGGTTCATGAACTTAAAAATACTTACAATAAAAACGAGACAAAAAAATATTAAAGACCATACAAACAAGAATATAAAAAAAAATGACTTTAACAAGGAGTCAACTCCTACACATAAAAGCCATAGCTAAATAAAAAGAAGAGAAATATAAGACAGATCCAAGTGTAAACAAAGGAAATACCTCAAATAGTAGTTCCCAGCAAAGCTAATAGACAAGTCAATGCAACAAAAACATTTTTCTAAAATGCTGCATTTCATGGTCAAGGCCACCAAAAGGCCTTTATATCCTCTAAAGATCACATGGCTAAACTAGAACTAAAAAAAATAGCACCTTCAGATAAAAGCACATATCACACTTCTATTCAAATTTAGGTAATGATTTTTGAATTTGTGACAGCCTTTTGGCATAATAATCATGGGTTAAAAAGGTGATCGAGGTGTTCGCCTCATTCCTCACCCTGAGTCACCCAGTAAGCACTTTGAGGATTATGACTTTCAGACAAGAGCCAGTCATTATCCTTTTTCAAGATTATATGCCTCAATACATATGAGGTAAACACCTCGAATTAACACTTAAAAAAAAATACTTTTAAGTTATTTTTTTATAGCAATATTTATTCTTAGAAGGTGAAAAAGATACATGATAGCACAAACAAAAGAAAAGTAAATTACATTAGACAAGCTGAACTAAAGCATAAAGAGCAGTGACGATCCTAAAGAACTGGATCATACTAACATTCAAACAATAGCCAAGTTCAGGATACTAAAATCACCAATGAGTTATTAAGATTTGCTTGGAACCTAATAAATCTGGCATAATGGAGAAAGAATTTCATATGATTAGTGCCTCAACAGGAAAATCACAACTAAAATAATTTATCGAACAACAACAATAACAAGCCTTTATCCCACTAAGTGGGTTCAGCTATATGATTCAAAAAAAAATAAAAAAGTAGTAATATCACATGGAGAAGGAATAGTGCGAAATAATTTATCCACTATATCAAAAAAAATAAAATAAAATAAAATAAACTTCAAATAGATTTTGAAAGATAAATCGAGCCTGAATCATGAAGACTAATTATAACATTGACGAATTAGGTTGTAGTATCACATGGAGAAGGCATAGTAAGAGTGGAAACAAGACCTTATATAGGCTGGCAAATATATAACTCAAGTAACGCTCTCAAAAATCAGAAAATTCAAATTCTAAAATTGAGGGAAGAAAGGAAACACTGCCAAATACATTTATAAGAAGTGTTAAGCACATGAGTGAGAATAGTGGCGTACAAATGGGGAGTTAGCGAAGTTAGCATTTGCAGACAGGAGTTGAGGAAATCAAGTGCAAGCAGGAATTGTGAGCTAATTAAAATAGAAACCTACAACAACTAAGCGTTGAAGCATTGCAAGTAGGTGCATTTTTCAATTTTAACCTTTTCTTTATTTTGTAACTATTTTTTTCCTTTTTTAATTAAGATTTTATAATAGAAACTTATTTTCTTTTATTTATTGAGTGAATTTGTGTTTTATAAAGATGACCAAATTTAATATGTTAATGAATTATAGCATTTTTATGATTTTTTTAGTTGCATTTTTTTATTTTTAGCCCTTGAATTTGTTTTTTTAAACTTTGGCAGTATTTTAATAAAAACATCACCATTTTTAAAGCTCATATCAAGATAAAACAGAGATTTTATAAGCCCAACAAGAAACCAATTAAGTGATAGAAATTTATTTCCCTAACCTCCAATGGAAGGCCAAGTGATTCAAAATTTAAAAAACCAAGCGGTAACAAAAATACATACAAATTTGAGAGTCAGAAAAAAATTTATAAGCAACTAAAAACACCTAATACCCCAAGCAAGTCAAAGAAATATAAACACAGCTAGTGTTTTGTTAACATAAGACTAAAAAAACAAAGAAAAAACTAGGGCATAATTGACATAACGGATAGCATCATTCTAAAGCTTATATTCTAATTAGTGTTGATATAAATAGTCATCAGCACGGGCTTCAAAAGGCAAGCAAAGAAATATATCTCTAATAAAGAGAGGATTAAAGGGCTAAGCAATGGCTTTTGCAGTGAAATGTTTGTGTTTCTTAAATATTTTAAACTTATTTTGGCTTTATATGGTGATGAAATCACAATGATTGTTCCTATCGTCACAATTTGGCTGTGTGGCTTGCATATTTTGAGAATATCTTGTTATTGGAAGGAAGAAAAGAAACATTGGGGGAACAAAAAAATAGGAGGATAGGTAAGAGGAGAGTGCTTTGCACAAGTAAATCGTATTTAAATTCAAATGCTCGATACAAGACGATCTCATATATAGAGAGGAAAAGATGTGGCATTTCTATGATATACCCAAATTCCATCTTGATTTCCATACATGCCAAATGATTTCACAACATTAAAATAAAAATAATAACGAAACTCAAAATAAATGTTAATGAATTACAAAAGAAGCATCACTCTCTAAACTGAAGAAAGTTAGATTCAGAGTCAAAACATGTGCAAGTCTAAATGTAGCTTGCATCATCGCTCTTCAGTTGCAAAGAACTGACCTATAAAGAGATAGTATGATGGCACGCATAAATAAAAAAAATCAGTATAATACAATGTAACTTATCATTGGAGATCCATGAATCATCCTCGAGAGGAAGGTCTCCATTATGAATGAAGTATCATTGCTACCCGGTAGGATTGGAGGTTATCTTCTTACTAAAGATTTGCTTCACAGCACCTGATCAAGAGAAAAAAGCAACAAGAAACACAAAAATAGGACACAGAATTGTAGAAATAGAAACTACCTCGAAAAACAATATCTTGGGTAACAGAGGGGACTTTAATTTGTCCTTAAAGAATAAGAAAATCATATATATTGAAAGTTTTTATTAATACAAAAATTTGGAAGAGATCAATTAAAGATGCATCAGATCTCATTTTCTTTCAGATTTTATAGGGTCCAAAATTTCAAAGATTAAGCTTTTTATAAATATTGTGTGACAAGTATTTGAGATAGATCTGTGTAATAAACACATAATCTCCTTCACTGAAATCCCAATCACATTAATGAAGGCATACTATGAAAAAACCAAAACACCTTTGATACAATCCGACGTTAAAATCAGCACGCCTTATGACAACCAATTTTTATTACCTGCACACCAAATCAAAGCAATAAAAAACTAATAACTCACACGATAAACTCCTACACTATAAGAGGTGAGTGATCTCTCCCAATTCCTACAATATGAGAGGTTGGAAATCTTTTCAAAACCCTAAACCTAAGATACAAGACCCATTCTCATGCATAAACCTAATCTTAAACATGATAAGCTTATTCATACTTAACAATAATAATAATAAACAACCAAATTGCCCTTAGGCATACCAAAGAACCAATTGCCCTTAGGCTAGGGACCAGTTTAACAATAATCCCCTTAAAAGATACCTTGTCCCAATGTGAGAATTCCCCCCGCCCTCCACCACAGCTTTCTCTATTTCTTCATCCTTTGCCTCCTCTTCACGCATTATAAGAACTTGTAATTTTAGATCATTGCAACTGCGTCCTGGGGTAAACTTCTCATCACACTGAAACCATAACCCCTTAACTAGCTTCTCCAATATTTCTATCTCTATAAAGTGCTTGAGTGTCGCTCTCAATCTGCCCATTATTCTTGTATTGTGCAGCATCTCTTTAGACTTAAACTGTTTGAGCTTTTGGTATCATCTTGGTTATAGCAATTTGGTACGATACTCCATCTGTGCTGCTCATGCGGGTCTTCTCCATCTAATTCTTGTCATCCACTACCAAGGCTAGGTCCATAGTCCGCCTCAATCTCCGCGGTCTCAATAGTCGGAATGCTGCTCATATGTCGGAAGTTAGACCCTTCATTAAATTCCCTTCAATCCTACTTCAAAAATCCCCCTTAGCCATCCCGACAATAGCTCGAATCTCTCCCTATATTCCATCACAGTCCCCTTTTGATTCAAGATATAGAATTGCTCATTTACGTCTCCTGCACAAATGGCTTAAAAACGTTCCATCAAATAATCCTTAATTTTTTTTTCCATGAACAGATGGATATCTAGTCTCCCTCCACTGAAACTATGCTAAAGTTTTCCCCTCCAAACATAAACCAGTTGTCATAAGCTTCTCCTCCCCAGTTAGCTCATTCATCGTAAAATATTGCTCTACCTGATATACTCACTCATGTGCATCTTTTTTCCTCGAAGATCCACATCTTCAACTTCCCAACTCTAGTATCACCAACCCAACTTCCTCTCCTCTCCCTCCGGTGTTTCTCCCCATGTAACTAGGGTGAAATTCTCTCCTTCGATCATAGTAATGCCCTCTTCGAGATTCCCTCCTTTCTTTGTGCATCTTCCAACCCCTTGCATAATCTCTCCACCATGTCTCTATCCAATCATCTCCATCAAAAATCTCTAATCAACCACCAACAAAGTCCTAGGGATAAGTTCGTGATGGTGGATGTTTTCCTCCTCATGTTCCTCAAGTTCTATCTCTTTCACTTTCAATTTAGTTTTCCATGGAAAGGAAACTCTCAAGACGGCCTTCATTTGATTTTTTTATAGAAGAAAATCTACCCTCTATGGTGGCAAACCTTTCTTCCATCCCGGATTTAAGTTGACTCATCTCTTCCACTAATTTCATCTCCAAATCAACTGTCTCAGTTGTCATTACTCCCTATAAGAATTCAAAGCTCCTTTACACTGAAATCATGAGCTTTAGAATTTATGTACGTGATTTCAACATGCACAAAACTTTAGATGACGTGATCCTTGAATTCTTGTATGTAGTTTGGCACTTGGAAGCAGCACCGAACTCTGGATATTGCGATCCAAATTCTTGTATGTAGGTTCGGCATTAAACTCCTTTACGTCGCGATCCCAATCGTTTCAATCAAGAAAGCATAAAACTCTTGTAAACCACTATGTTATCTTCTCGACAAGCTCTGATCGTGTCTATATCCTTCGAACATAGCAACAGGAGAAAGGTGTGCATGATCGATCAAGAAAGCATAAAACTCTTGTACACCACTATGTTATCTTCTCGACAAGCTTTGATCGTGTCTATATCGTTCGAACATAGCAACAGGAGAAAGGTGTGCATGATCCCTTTGATACTAAGGATTGGACAACGCGATATCGTCGATGCTTCATGCTTGTTTGATCGCAAACTATGATCCCATTGTCCCCTTCCCTGCAAGCCCTAAGCGCACCAGTATCAATGGGAGTTATGGAGCGGGAACAGAATAAAATTGGGAGTTTTGCATCTTTGTATATCTAGATCTTCGGAATTCAGGGCAGAGCGTATCTGTGCGACTGCCTTCCTAGCTTAAGTTGTTCTGCATAAATTACTGCGGCTGCATAGCAATCAGCTTCCCTTTGTTCCACAGAAATCCAATGCTCTAATACCAATTTAATGAGATACGACATCAAAATCGACACGTTTTTTTCAAAAAAAATTAGGGCAAACACAAATTTTATTTCTCGAGCATCAAATCAAAGCAATACAACACTAATAATTCACATGAATAAAAAGGATAAGCACCTGCAATTCGAGAGGTAAGAAATCTCTCTGAAACCCTAAACCTAAGATATACGGCTCAATCTCATGCATGAACCTAACCCTAAACATAATAAGCTTATTTATACCCAACAATAATAATACTAAAAGACTAAATTACCCTTAAAGAACAAAAGACCAAATTGCCCTTAGGCTAGCTACCATGTAACAATCACCTCCGAGCTTCTCCTCCTATCATGTTGTGAATTCATCCCTTTGCCTGCAAGCCCACCCGAGCTATTCCACCTACTAGCTAGTCTACCTCATTTTTTTTAACTCATGCATGCGCCTGAATATGCAAGGCCTTCTCATTTCAAGACAGCACCCAAACACTAAACAAAGATAGGCTGCACAAAAGATTAATAATTAAGAAGATCAAATAGAAATTAACATTTCCCATTATCATTAGAGCAATATATTTTAACTAGGTGTAGTTCTGTGAGGCAAAATATGCAAAAGAAGCTATTGTTTTCTCTTACCAATGCGTCTGCTTCCATTGCAGCTATTCCAGAAAGTGAACCGCAAAGAATGCCTCCATCACCCTTTAAGCAGCGGAACACTTTTGCACCTTCCCGGCTGTGAGATTCTGATGAATCCATGCAACCATTCAGTGATGAGATGGCTAAGACATATCTACGAGCCAACTCTGGCCATGTGAACTCGTTAAAAATCGGCATCTCCAATTTTGTGTCTTTTATGTGACTGCTATCCACATCCTTCTTTCTTCCACGTCTTGGTTTGGACTCCCTAGCATCAACGTTTGGATCTACATAAACTGCAACTTTATTCAAGAGTTCACCAACCAGCACTTTTAGTAGTGAAGTGTGAATTTTTGTCAGTACAAGACCTGTGCATCTCCCATAAGTACGAACTGCTAGCTTAGTTTGATCAATTTCCCTCTGGGCTGAAGTTTCAATCGGAACAAATGTGAATGTGTTATGCCTATCAAAACTCCCACGGGAATCACTAGAAATAAATGATCCAACAGCATTTTCGTTTGCTTGAGAAATTACTACTCTAGAATCATAACTGTGCTTTTCAGATGAAGATAAATTATTGGGAACACAAGGCCATGGATCAATTAGTTCCTCTTCAAGTTCATCAAAATTCAAATTCTCTTTGAGACCCAAAATCTCATGGAAACGACAAAGAAATTCCCATATCTGCCAAAAACAGAAAAAAAAATGGAGTCAGAAAGATGCAATGAAACAGCTTAAAGATCCAAAAAATCAAGATAAAAAGCAATCCCTAAAAATCTAAGTCACAAATCACTAAAGAAGACACCTGATAAACATCCCCAACAAGATCGCATGGAAGCTTATTGCTTAAAGGTCGCCCATGCAGAAGTCGGCGGTGAGATGCTTGAGGCTCATCAAATTCAGATACGATAGACCCTTTACTCCCTTCCTTTAAACTATTTAATGCAATTTCCTCCCCTTTTTCTCCATTCTTTTGAACAGCTACAAGCAGACCACTACCAACTGTCCAAGGCACACATGAATCCTTTCTATTCTTTAAAAACAGATATCTAGAACAAGCATGGGATTCAGGAAGGGTTTCAAGCATTTCTTGTACAAAACCCATATCCAGCCCAAACCTGTCCCTGTCCAACCATTCTGACAAAGATTTGCATGTAAATTTTAGAAGATTATAATTTTTAATTAGCTGAGGAACATTTAGAGGTCCAGAAGCACAGGAGAATCTAGCTAACGAACCATAAAAATTAACATATTTGGCAGCACCATTATTTCGGTTAGATGGAAAGCCACTGGAGTCATGCTTGCAGCTAAACCGCATGCATCCTATTTTTCTGAACACTTCATGACAAGCATTTAAAACAGTTTCCGAAACCATTTTCCAAACTGCAGTAGAAGATCGTCCTTCAACATAGAATTCCCCAATGTCATCCATTAAGCTAGAGTTCCTGTTTGAAAAAGCAGCAAGCCTTTGAACATAGAAACTATTACAAGAGACGGTTGACACGCCGGACTCTTGCATATCAACCTGAACAGAGCAAGCATATGGTGTTTCATCAACATCACCACTAAGCAACGATAATAAATTGTTGTCCTCAGGATTAGGATCACAGACGAGCATCAGAATTTCATCATCTCTGTCAGTCTCTGCATCAAAAGGCAAATTTTCATCCATTTGTGCTACAATATGAGTTCCGGCAACCTTATTATGTAAAATAGCAGTTGCCCCATTTGGAATGGGAAATAATGAACATGGAAATCTTTTCACTCTGAAGATAGGACCAGGATCACCACCATCACACACCTCACACTCAAAAACTGATCCAGTAATTTTGTCATGCCAAATAGATTTGTATCCAATAGGCCAAATCTGACAGCTGTTATGATAAGCCATTCGTGAATCAATTTTTCCAAGACTGAATATATAGAAATCTTCCAACTGAACAGGAAATGCAACCTGGAGAGCAATAAAATAGCAAATAGGAACGTTCGGCAAGTCTCCAAAGTACAAATGAAATGACAGATGAAATGATAAAAAATCATAGTAAGACAAAAAGAAAGCTACCTACCATAGAACTTTGAGAGACCGAGCCACACTTCTCTTTGATGAGATTATTAGTGACTCTTGCAACATTTCCAACACATGAAAACTGAGGGTCTAAAATCTCAGCATCAGAAGAATGCTCCCTATCAAAGTTGCTAGAAATGCTGTTCAGATTTTTAGAGGAAGTTTCTAAAGTTGAGATTTGTAAGAAGTCTCTTTTCCTTCTTCGAGAAGGCAATGATCTCTGTAATAATCCAGAATCATCATCCCTTTTATCAACCTCTATAGATTGGGCATTAAGTGTTAAGCCAAGATAACGAGCAACATCAAATACTGACTCAAACCTCCTACCATCAGGGGCACAATAAACTGCATATGAATCAGAACTGTTAGCAGATTGTTTAAATTCTACATGCCAGCCATCACCCAGAGAGCCTCCTTTTTTAGCAACAAAATCTCTTAAAGAACAGAGAAATATTTCACCCTGTGAATGGCTGGAAACAGTACAACTATTAACAGGACATCTACTCCTAATAGAACTGCCTAAAAGCGGGTCTTCACAATCAATAGTTGCATCTGCTGCATGGGGTAGAGCAACTTCTGAGTTGGTCCTCTTGCCCTCCATACCAGTAGTATTTCCTGGAGCAAATGCGTTCATTTGGTAACCAAGATTTGGATTTGAATCTTTTACAATGGTTCCACTTGAAACAAATTCATTAGTTCTGGAGAATAAATGAATCAAACAAAATCTGATAAGTCGTGTGAATAGAAGATGCCAATAGAAGATTTAAACATAAAAAAAACAAACTATCCTTTACCAACATAAAATCCAAATATCAAAAATAGTAATGGCAAAAGAGAAGGTGCTTTAAACACGAGGCTATTTAATTGACATATATAGTTACATCTTAGGATTACATGAACCCAAAATTGCAATAATAAAAATATGCCCTAATAATGACAATTACATGAAGTTCCAAAAGTTCTTATATGCAGGACTGTAAATACTGAAAAAAGAGAATAAAATCAAAAACCAGGGAGTCACCACCAAAAAAGAAACAAGTCATCATAAGTATAAGGAAGTGCAGAACCAAAATCAATAAGAAGATTAGTGCAATTCTCAATAAAATGGCCATGCAGTAAAACTAAAATAGAAGAGTAGATAGATGAATGATTCCATAAGAGAGATGGTAGGAGTATGAATGTGTATATATATATATATATATACATATATATAGAATAAACTTCAACTGTTTGAAGATGTACAATACAACAACAAGAACAAGCCTTCATCCCGCCAAGGGGGGCTGGCTACATGAATCATTTTTCTCCATTGTGTACTATTGAGTTTTATATTTGATTATTTTCTATACAACAAGCCCAAGTCTTTTTAAGTCTATCTCTACCTTTTTTTAACATAAGTCAAAGTTAAAGCATCTACTCTCCTAACTGGATCATTAGGTGGCTGACGTTTAATGTGACCAAACCATCTAAGAAGACTCTATCAAATCTTGTGTGTCATTGGAGCTACACTAACCTTATCAAGGACACATTCGTTCTACATTTTTTCTCTCAATGTCAAGCCACTCATCCACCTAAGCATTCTCATCTCAGCAACATCGAACTTGGTTTTTTGCTTCTCTTTTAAAGGCCAACATTATGCTCCATAAAGCATTTTGCAAGTCAAACCAACATCCTATAAAATTTTCCTTTAAGCCTAAGCGGTACTTTTCTATCACACAAAAGGCCCAATGCATTCCTCCACATCAACCATCAAACTTGAATTCTATTAATAACATCCCCATCTATATCACCATCACTTCGAAAAAATAGAACTGAGGTAACTAAAATGTTCACACCTTTTATTGATTTGATCACCTATTGTTACAACTTTACCACTAGATCTACTACTACTAAAACTACAATGCATTTTTTTTTTCATTTGTTGGATTACATCAGGGAACGGCTTTAAGCTCATATCTTTTTTTATTTAATATTGGATGCTCTTACTAGACATTTACAAGAGGATTTACCTTGATATATGCTTTTCGTTGATGATATCCTTCTTGTAGATAAGACAAGAGAAAGAGTATAAGAAAAAGCACCCATAGAACAAACAAAATCACGGAAAAAAAATTACATAAAAAAATGGCAGACCAGAAGTGAAAAAATAGAAATTTTGTGGAAAAAAAAACTATATATTTACACGTCATGCAACGCTCAGTAAGAAATAACAAAGTGAGTATTCATAAAGTTGACCATAATTAATAAGGATAAGAGTAAAAATGGTCCAATCAAGTTCAATGTCAACCAAAAAACCAAGTGAGTAACAGTAATTAGCCAAGCATTCAAATCTATATTAATAAATGAATTTCTTCCTCAGTATTCATTGACTAATGTTGACACTCCATAGGACGCAATGGAGAAAACGGGTCCATGCAGCTTACCACACTTAGTGGGAAAAAGGCTTGTTATTGTTGTTGTTGTTGTTATTGTATTCATTCACTAATGCCTTTTCTTGCTCCACTAAAGCTGTCCTCATTGTCTATATGTGCATAATATAGACAATGACAACAACAATGTTTCCAAAATTCACTAATGCCTTTTCTTGATATTGGCACCCTATATGCCCCTTTATAATTGCCTCACTCCCGTCATCTATTTTCTCTACTGCAGAATTAAATACAAAGAATAATCTAACAGCCTTTCAGACCCACTTTGGAAAACTCCCTCCTACATTAGGGAATTCAAAAAATTTATAATTCTTCTTAGCAAGTTGCTATTTACATGTATTCCCTCAATGTTTTAAAGTTCCACATACCATAAGACAGCATATGTGCTACATAATTTAGACATTTAGTTACTACATTCATATCTCGATTTCAATTCTCCGGATCTCTATTCTCTTGTTAGCAGGGACATTTGCATGCGTTAAGATTAATGAATTATTTAACAATGGTTCATACAAATCAGGATAAAAACAAAATTTGTAAGTTGCATTTAGAATTTAAATCTACTGATAAATCAATTAGTTCTTCTTGTAATGATAACATTTCAATTTTTTTTTTAAATTCCATTGGTAATTTAGCCACACTATATTGTCAGATTTTGAGAACATTGCTACAGTTATAAATAAAATTAATTAGAGCCAAATATATTATTTAATTATTTATTATTTCATAAAAATGATTAGCATAACAATGTGATCAAGTTTTGCAGTTGATGATGATTCAACCATAGACAGAATAAACAAGAATACTAAGTCCTCATGTATGCTAGAAACTAAACCAAACCAATGAAATTGTTCAAGGGAGAATGGATAAAGTTACAGATTGTACACTAATAAAGAAAATCCTTACTTTACCAGGCACAACATTCCATAGATACATGTAACAATATGTATTAGGATAATAAAGCATATAAATAAGCAAATAGATAAAAATTTATAAATACCGTATCCACAAACTTTAAAATATGTGAGGACAACTTCATGAAAAAGTGATTTAACAGAGAGGGAAGATAAGGGAGATCCTAAATAATATTAATGAGAGATACCTAGTAAGAATGTCATAAATTTACCTCAAAATTGTGCTCACAATGCATCCAGTCCATTTCCAAAAGGAGTCCAGTTGTGATATATTATACTAAAATAAAATAAAAAAATAAAGACTTGCTAAAGAATGATTCAAACACACATTGGAAAGAGGAAGTGTGTTCATGTGTCATCTATATGATCCATGAAAGAGAGATGACAAGAGGAATAGAATTTCTAGTGTTCCTTATTTGATGAAGAAGAACTCCTTAGTCAGCTTGTTGGGATGGCTAAGAGTGAGGGGATGGGGGTAATGGACAAGTGTGATAAGGAAAGATGAGATAGGTAAAATAGTAGGGAAGGGATATAAGGGAGAGTGACAGCCACCACTTGAAGAGAAAGGGTAGATAAGGGGAAGGAAGCTTATGAGAGAAATGGGGCTGCTTTCATTCATTCAATCATAATTAAACATCAGTACACTCTTCCGTTCCTTTTAATAGAAGAGGGCCCCCCTAATTAAAATATAGTGAAATTAAAACTTAAAACTAATTGAAATAAAACTAACATAAAACATCATGATGTCCTATCATCATATAAAGCATCATATATTCGCTCCATAATCCTCCTGCATCACAAGCTCAAGTGTTCATGTGTCTGAGAAGTCAAAGAGAACCTTCGGAAGTGTTTGTCATTTAGAAGTCACCTTAACATCATATCAATTGAATAACAAAAAACTATTTAAATGAATTATCAAAATCAGTCAGCTTGTGTTCAAACCTACAATTATTTTTTCCATGAATGGCATAAGAAACATAACATTTACAAAACTGCTTTTCAACCTCTCTTAGCTAAGAAGTCACAGAATAAATTCAATTAATCCAAGACAGAAAAACTTTGTTACAAATAGGCTGCAAGCAAATTTATCATTATATTATTTACATATTAAAAGAATAATTCAAAATATTACGCATGCTACTAGCTGAATCAAGTCATAGCTTAAGCCTCGCTTATTGGTAAATTTCAAAGTAAAGCTTGAATTAAACCATGTACGTTTCAGAAGTATCAAGTTACATTTATAACATGTAGTACTATGATGAATAATTGATTTTTTTAGATAAATTAAAATTGCTTTGAATTTATAGTTTCTTTGAAGTAGATCACCAAAAATTTAAAACAAAATCCGACGAAGAGCCCTTCATTTCTACACTACTGTTGACCTCATTTTTGTGAGGTCTTTTCTTCTCCTCCTTAGAGTCTAGGTTCTAGCTCTAGAAATCCCTATGGACCATCTTAGAAAACTAGAGTTGAGACTCACCCTTCTAGAAGCTCCAGCCGATTCCTATTTTCCTTTGATGTCTAGCATCTTTGGCACAAGACCATCGTTTTATGAACGAGCGGTTATGGGCTATTTTGCAAAGATTCAAGGAACAATGGTAGTAATATTGTTCCAATCTGAATCAAATGGAGCCCCGATCAAGCATTTAACCAGCTTTTAGAAGCTTTATGGGCACATTTGAAAGATCAAATGGATGTCGAATTTGATGTGCTTACAGTCAAATCAGACATCTCGATAAGACAAATTCAACGAGTCCAAGATAATTCATTTTCAACATCTTTAAGGTCCTCAAATGTTCATTAAATCTTGTACGATAGAATGAATCTCTCTGGACCGACCGATCAAGGTGGTTCATATTCTTACATTAATTACACCCATAACTTTATAAATAAAACCGCACTCCTCTCGTGAGAGAAGAGAGATATTAAGGCGACGTCTGGAAAATAAAATTCAGTTTGGTTATAGTGAACGGAGATGCAAGAACAAACTTTCGTTGGTGAAGCAGCAGTATAAGAATATTCTCTCAAAGTTTTTTTCACACGAACAACAATCTTTCAAATTTTCAGGTCGCAGGTTGTCTCATGTGGTTCTATAAATGCAGTTTTTTAAGAGAAATTTGTTGAACAATGACGCTACTTCGAACGTAACCTTAGTTTTGTGTTATTGTTTGTTAGTTTGAACTATGGTTAGGTTGTTGTTTCTCGGCTCTTGTTTTAGTTTATTTATTTATTATTTCTTATGTTATAATTGGTGTTATCTTGTGCTTCCTTTTTATTTTATAAAGTTGCGCGTGACACTCATTCTTTCCACCTCAATGTCAGGGTTCGCAAGTACGCTCGGTGCACACAATATTCGCCCAGTATTTACATATAAGACGTCAAACCTTTTTTTTTATTCAAACACAATACATTATTTTTTTGAGAAAATATTAGGTCAGAACTCCGGATGCATCGAGAGTCCTATAAAGGAGTGACACGTGCAAAATGGACCGATCACAGTGTATTGTGATGGGCCCATTTTACACGTGGCACCACATTATTGGACTCCAGATAATTCAGAGTCCTGACCTAATATTTTCTCCAATTTTTTAAAGAAAGTTTACACATACTACGCAATTCTCATGTTTTACATATATAATACCTACAATTTTAATTTTTACATCTATACCACTATAGTTATGTTTGTAAAAGTATGTTTTACTCCTTAAAGTTAATAAAAATGGTATTTTTAATCTGAGATGGAAGATTTGAATGCTATAAATGTAAAAATTAAAATATAGGTGTTAGACATGTAAATACACGAGAATTATGTGGTATGTATGCAAATGCCTTTTATTTAGTATTACATTAAAAAAATCAAAACTACTAACTTCTTAAGAGAAATTAATATTTATTGATCTAATAAAAATGAAATTTAAGTGTAAGTTATATAAATATAAAGTAATTAAAGGGTTTGTATGTAATTATCTTTTAACAATTGATTACCCTCTAAAACAAGGCAAGTCATATGTCATCCCTGTCACAGTAAGAAAAAACTGAATTGTATGACAAAATATGACCGGAAGAGTCATAATGTTGTTTCATATGTGGATGATAGTATTTAGATGTTCTTGATAGTACTGTGGTGTTATTTTACCAAAATAACATCATAAATTACCAACAGTACCTCCAATAACACCATCACATCTAATCTGGATGTAATTATTTTTCTAATTTTATAGTGTGTTTCATCTCGTTGCAGTTTGGCGGAAAATAAAAAAAGTTTTATTTGACTCTACGACTTAAGTTTTGCATTTGATAGTGAAAGTATTCAAAATATTGTTGAGTTGCTCGTTTTCAAGCCTGCATTCCCCTGCTTTTAGGGGTGGAATCAGACTCTTTTTTTTAGAGAAGAACAAACTTGTTATATATATAAAAAAATGGTCTTATCTTGTGTTCTGTTCGTACTTTTTTTCTCGTGATTTTTTTTGCTTTGGTCTTGCAGGGTATGGTCAATCAGCGTTGCATAATATAAATTACGCTAACCTCTTCTTTTGTTGGTCCAATCCTCATTTAGACTTTATCATGTAATTTTAAGAGTCTGAGGCAGTCTCTATATGAACATGAGTTTCAAGGCGTTTAACACGTTGAACCATGTCACGGAAAATATGAGCAGAAACTTGTGTTTCGTACCTTCAATCTGAATCTATCTTGATGTATATGCTTAAGACCAAGTATGTATCATGCAATGCCTTGTAGCTCTTTTTCGTCTTTTTTTAATATGTTGTCAACCCAATAGCACCCCAACCTATCTTATTATCTCACGCTATTTCTACTGTGCGAACATTGCGGAAGGCCCAAATTTTTTTTATTTTATTTGAAAGAGTTTGAACGTTTGAAAGAAGGAATCATGATGGCTGAAGTTAAATATTAATAATAAATAATTTCAATACACTAATTTATAAAATAATAATAATAATAATAATGGGAAAAAAAATTATTTCTTGTGAGGGAGCCACGCATGACGTGCATGCTTTTATTTTATTTTTTTCAAATTTGGGGTGTCTTATAATAATATTTAATAATTAATATTTAACCCATTAAATATTATTTAGAGAAAATAAATTCCAACGAGTCTTCTAGTTCTGTAAAGTGAATGAAAGACTGAGGAATTTTATTTTATTTATTTTTTATTTTTTTTTTTGCAAATTTAAGGAAAAAAAAGAAGAAGAACAAGTTCTTTAATGGTAGTCTTATTGATTAGGATGGGAAGATTTTAGGTATGATTCGTTCATTAAATAAATGTGTTGTATATGAATGATTTTTTTTTTTTAGTTTGATTTATGAAAATAATTTCGTTTGATTGTTTGTGTTCAGCTCATTTTGGATCACGTATGAATCATTCGGACTAATTTCAGATCACATATGAACTGAAACGAACTAATGAATTTGAATCGAGTCAGACAGTAGTATGCTATTCACAAGTCATTTTCAATATAAACTGTTACATGTACTTTTAAACATGTTCCTATGCAAATCCCAGGATGAAACAAGACAAAAAAAATATACATGTGATTATTTGTGGATGACACTTTTGTTCAACCTTTAAAACCCTCAAATAACATTTATATATATTTTTTTTCTATGGAGCCATGCATGATATGAGAGAGAGAGAGCGAGCAACTATTAATTGAAAGTGAAACAAAAACATTTGAAATAATTAGAGGACCTTTATATTTGGTGATATCTCGACCAAAAGTCTGTTTCGGACGGCGATGCAGCATCGCACCGCAATTTTGTTTATTTAGGGTAAACTGTATTTGGACAGTTTTTTCAAAAAATAACTGCTGAAATCTGCATTTTTTCACTGGTCCTGATCAGGTGCAGTAACAGTTTTCTATCTGTTTTTTTCTTAAAAAAAAAATTGTAATAACCACAGCTACTTTTTAATAGTCTGCAATTAGCACAAACAAACCCTAAGTTTGTGAGAGTAACATTATAGTGCGGTCTGTTTTTTTCTTAAAAAAAAAAAATTGTAATAACCACAGCTACTTTTTAATAGTCTGCAATTAGCACAAACAAACCCTAAGTTTGTGAGAGTAACATTATATGAATTCAATGAAGTCATGTGATGTCAATCAATAAATATCTGGTGAGCCTTTGAATTGTGGCATTTGTATGCATAACATTCATTTTCTATGTATTTTCAAATCTAACAAATAAACTTTAGTTTTCTACGTTTATATCACCTAAAAATACATCATTATTTTAACTTCTAAAATTCATCTCAAAGATAACTAGTTTCTCTTTAATAAGTGCAAGATCATATAAATAAAACATATTTTCAAACATGTTTTGCTCCAAACCAAGTCATAAATACTTTCATAAGAACTTTCTTTTATTACAAATATAGCCATGTCTAGATAACACAAAAAGAAAACAGTATTACCTTTTAACATCAAATTGATAAACATCCCTTTTTCTTTTCTTACCTCTACCACCCTTCAAAACTCCACCCAACTCAAGCCCTTATATGACCCTAATCCTTCAAATTAACCACAAACAAGTCCAATAAAACCACAAAATATCAAACCCTAACTCCTCGGTTCCGTTTACTCGGTGCCACCAATCGGAACGCTGCGTAATACAACAGTCTCGACCGTAAGTCCCGGACCGAACCCGAATAGAACTCCCCACTCCAAACCCTCGCCAGTGGTCGACTGCCCAGCCTCCGCCGATCGCCTTCGCATCTCATCGAGTATGAAAAGAACGCATGCGCTCGACATGTTACCGTAGTCAGCGAGCACATTTCTACTCGCGGCGAGCTTCTCGGACTTTAGACCGAGCTTGGTCTCAACTTGATCGAGTATAGCCGGGCCGCCCGGGTGGGCGATCCAAAAAATAGAGTTCCAATCAAGCACACCAAGTGGCTTGAAGGCCTCAAGGAGACATTTTTGAATGTTTTTAGAAATGAGGCCGGGGACGTCTTTGAGTAGGTGGAAGGTGAGCCCGATTTCACGAAGGTGGCCATCAATGGCGCCCTCTGATTCGGGAAGGATGGTTTGGGAAGCAGAGACTAGTTGAAACAGAGGGCGCTCGGTGGCTAAATCAGGGTCGGATCCGACAATGATAGCGGCGGCGCCGTCGCCGAAGAGCGCCTGTCCGACGAGGGAATCGAGATGGGATTCCGACGGGCCGCGGAAAGTGACAGCGGTGATTTCGGAGCAAACGACGAGCACGCGGGCGCCGGCGTTGTTCTCGGCGAGATCCTTGGCGAGGCGGAGGACGGTGCCGCCGGCGAAGCAGCCCTGCTGGTAGAGCATGAATCGGCGGTTGACGGAGGGGCGGAGACCGAGGAGGCGGGTGAGTTGGTAGTCGGCGCCGGGCATGTCGACGCCGCTGGTGGTGCAGAAGATGAGATGAGTTATGCGTGATTTGGGGTGTCCCCATTCCTTGATGGCGCGCGCGGCGGCCTCTTTGGCGAGCTTCGGGACCTCGGCGACAACTATGTCTTGCCGGGCGTCGAGTGAAGGAGCCATGAATGCACAGATATTGGGATTTTCTTTCAGGAATTCTTCTGTTAGATACATGTACCGTTTTTTTATCATGGATTTCTCGCCTGTAAAACAAAAAAAAGAGATTTTTTTTCATGAAAATATAATTCTGAAGTGATTTTGCAGCGAAAAATTTGTCCTTTTCGCTGGCAAATTTCATCAAAATACAGATGATTAGTAAGCGTAAGAGAAAAAAACTTTTTTTTTCCCCTCCAGGCTTACACATTCGCTTGAACTTCTCCTTGAGGTCAGTGAGATGCTCGCAGTTGGTGATTCTGAAGTAATAATCGGGATAATCGGCCTGATACAGAGCGTTCGGCGGCGTGGAGGTGCCGATTGCGAGCACCGCCGCCGGACCATCAGCTCTCTGAGCTCGCCTGATCTCCTCCATCGCCGGCGCCATTAACTCCCTCTCCGTCGTCCTCACAAGCTTAGCAGAAGAAAAGTGAGAGTTTTTTCAGGCACTGGAGAAGGATGGCGAGAGCACCGAAGGTATTTAATGAAGGGGAGCAGTTGAGAAATAAACCGGCTTAAAAATTAAACGGAATTGGTAGGTCGGGTGGACGGTCCGATGGATGCCACGTCAGCATGGACCGTTTGGTGGAGGACTAGGCGGAGGGATCGCCGCGTGGGTATTTGTGGTTGAGTTAGGGTTAGTTGGATGGCTGGGTGGGCTTAATGGGCCTTAAGGACAAAATCGGAAGCCCGTTTCCTGTTTCGGGTTTGTAGGTGGGCTCGTAGCTTTATGCTTGCTTCCAATGTTTAGTTGAGGGAGCAAACAAGTAGGTTGTCCTTAGTGGATATGGTTTGAGCTTGTAAGCAAAATATATCACTATGTGGGGCTAAGCATTGACTTATGATATTATGACATGCTTAATCTTATGTGGTTAATTTGTTGGAGCTGTTATTTGGTTTTTATAATAAAAAATAATGTGATTAGTCTAACTATGATATAAATTCATGCATGTCAAGCGAGTGATATTCGACATCTAACTAAAAGAATAAAAGATTTAAGGTTCATTGGTTCAATCAGGGTTGAACCGGATGATGTAACATGATATAAATTCATGCATGTCATTGGTTCAATCAGGGTTGAACCGGATGATGTAATAAATATAACTATTGGTTGAATAAGACGTAAATGATAAAACAATGATGTAATAATGACAAATATAAAAAGTGCAAACTAATAACAGTTAGGAATTGAAGAACAGTATGCAGTTGTAAATTTCAAATGAAATGTGAAAAATTATAAGTATTGGATATAATAACAAATGTAATATAAAAAGTGCAAACTAATAACAATTAGTAATTGAAGAACATTATGCAGTTGTAAATTTCAAATGAAATTTGAAAAATTATAAGTATTGGATATAATAACAAATGTAAACAAGTTTTTTTGTATGGTTCGAACCGATCAGACTAACCTAGTTTTCTAAACCATGATAATGAGTGTTGTTAAGAGGATTTTAGTCTACTTAATTCGTTTATTATGGGCCAATCATATTTGGTATGTGCTCCGAAAATTCTCCTGCTTTCGTATCGCGACTTGTCTAAGGAGATTCATGGATTAATTCTTAGTTTATTTAATGTTAGAATGTGGCTTTCAATTTATGGACCTTATGAGTTTTCTTATTGACATTTATTTGACAATTTAAAAAATATATATCATCAAGCTTATCACATGCTTGCATTTATTGATGTTGTGATGTTGTGATGTTGATGCCTTCTAGTAGATGTGAGCTTAGGGTTAGGTAGCATTTCATACATTTTTGAATATTTATTTTAATATATGAAGCCCTTACATAAGGTGATACATCTAAGTTTGAGCTTATTATACTTTGAAAATGATGTCATAAATACTCATCTTAGACAATTTTCAAATAATGAAACCATTATTGATGAGAAATAATAGTAAGTCTCCAACAATTTTATCAAATTAAATATCAACATGAGAGTGCATGCAAAAGATAAAAGTTGTTAATTTTTTCTTTCATCAATACAAATTATATTGATTAGAACTTAGGGGCATGTACATATATTATCAAATTTTGTTTTTGTTTCGCTTTGTTTTTTGGATGAATTAAACACTCTAAACAAAAAAAAAAGAAGTTTTTTTTTTTTTTTTTACATCGAAAATAGCTTTTCCTTAGCATTTCACTCGTCCCCCTCCACCCACCTCCGCCAACCGATCGTTGCCCATCGCCTGCCCGCCACCTGCTATTGCCCGCTGTCTGCTGCCTGCTACTCGCCCTCGCTGTCCCAGGCCGATCGTAGCTACTGCCTGGCGCACTAGAGCTCATGTGAACTCAATCATTTTATGAAAAATATAATTTTCTTAAGAAAAAGAAATCCAACCAAACTTTCTCTAAAAATAGAAAATAAAAAATAAAATATACTAAAAATAAAAATAGAAAATAGCAAATAAAAAGTGATACCAAACAAACCTTAAACTTTATTATTTTTATTTTTTTTTACATTTATACCCATAAATCAACCCTAAACCTTAAAAATATAATAAATTTAATTTTTAAATAATGAAAAAAATATTTAAATATACAGGAATTAATAAATGGCATCTGGCAAGTAGGTAAAGCTTACCATATATTAATAAAATATTATATGCATCAAAATTCATGGTTTCTGCACACATCCCATTGAATTCATTAGCATGTGAGATCTAACTCGCACAGTTAGCTTTTAAATATTATAATACATATTTATATTTTTTTCCAAATATGTTATAATTTCTTTAGAATTCAAATATTATGGATAAAAATTAAAATTTGGAACGAGTAGTTCGACTTTCGATCGGATTCGGATCGAACTAATCACTTACGAATTGACGAATTGCAGATGAGCCAGCTCGAATGTGTTTTATTTGCTCGAACCGGCGCGAAAATATTGTTATGAATTTAGAGAAATGGCGAGCGGCCCATCAATCATAAAAGAAAAGGAGAACAAAAGAAAGCGTTAATAATAACTATGGTGGGTTGTGATTCTATGAACCCACAACTTGAATGTTACGAACAATTAAAGCTTCTCAGAATGATTCGAACAATTGTAGAAATCGAAAACCAAACAAGACGAATATCTCACAAATAGAACTCGAAAGTTTAATGTATACAATTCAAATGCATGAAAAAGTAAAATTTGAATAAAGAAGTTAATGTGCATATATACATATATACGTACATACAAACATATAAGAGACTCATTCAATGTGCGACTCATTCCCACATTTTCAGTCAAGAATACTTCAATAACACTTCAATAACACAAATTACATAAACCATTATGGTGCATTTATAAAATTTCTAATTCATTTGGAATGAAAATTTAGCACAAATCATTTATATTTCTATGCATACAGAAGTTCTGAATAATAAGTTAGATTATCTCTTAATGCTTCTAAATTCCTCGAATAATACATTATGTATATCACATCGTCGCATATACCCCAATTTAAAGACTATAAATCATAACAATCAATATCAATCTATTATAATTATATGCTGACGAACTTGATCTTCTGGTGCGTAAACTCAATTTCTTTTGGTAGAGAAAATATTATGTGCAGTTTATGACAGCGTGAATTGCATCACACAATGAGAGTATGATCCGCAGTTTCATCGTCCGAACATTATATTCTCTCCCTTGAAAGGCTCTAAATCTTACGCGCCAGCGGTCTGTCTTCTAACCTCAATTTAACAAATTTATTGCTGAAGCTAGATCTTAGACCCATACAATTAAAGAAATTTACTTCCATTTACATATCTAAGGCTTAAAGTTGAATATTTATATCTAAATTGAAATATACATGTCACTTAATTTTAAAAGTTAATAATGACATTTTAAATATAATATTAGCAATTTGAGGGTCATGTATGTAAATATGAAAATTTAGGCATGATATATGTAAGTACATAAATTTATTTTTAATTTTAAAATGGAAAATTTCAGGCTAAGTCCTCATTTAATTTCTAGAAGTTTATTTATTTATTTATTTATTTAAAGAAATAGTCAAATTTATTAAGGGGCCATAAAAGATCACTTTTCTGTTTTCTATTATTATTTTTTATTTTTTTATTTATATTTTAATTTGAAATAAAATATATTTAGTATGATATGACTGATTTTTAAAATTAACATTAAAAATACTTAAATATTGTTTTAGTGTTTTTAACAACATATTAATTTTTTAAAAAACAAAAAAATAAAATATGAAAAAAGTACACTAAACAAATTAAACTTGTTTAAAAATAAAATAAAATAAATTCCAAACAAGCCCTAAATTAATCATAATTAAATAGTAATTATATTTTTAAGTTTGTAATTATTAAAATCCTTAACAAAAAAAATTGAATGAGAATATTCTAATTAGATTTAGGTAGATTTACATATATTCCACTGATGAATTCTTATATATTTACATGTCTCACAAATACATTGTAATTTTTTCATATATGTCAGCTCATGCAAAAAAATAAAAATAAAACTATTATCAACACGAATGTAAGGAATATTCAAACTATATCCTTTAATCAAATGAGAAAGCTGCAATCAGAATATAGTAGAAAAGTTAAACTCTTGAGAATTTGAATCTCTTCTCGCAGCTCAATTAGCACACTGATTGCCTTTGCGATGAATAAACAGTCACTCTAACTGCACATGATCGAGTAAAGTCAGGACTTTTTTTCATATAAACTATCAAAAGCAAAGAAAACTCTTTTTTCTTATTATAATAGTTCCTTAACTCCATATACTCCATTTCAATCTCAATATTATCCCAAGCATAGCTGACAACCAAATTCAGAGCCACAATCACCCCCCTCAACTTCAACACAAATAGGAGAAGCAACCAAAACTGGTGCAAAATACCCAACAGGCAAGCACCATTCAAATTCCGACACACACATCCAATACCAACAAGCAAATAATTCCAATCAACATCGGTATTGATATAAGATTTAGGGTCTGTTTGGGGCAGCTGCAGCTTATTGAATAATCTGCTAATAAGCTAGGTGCAGCAACCATTACAAATTTTTATTTTTTTTTGGAAAAGCCAGACCGCAGTCAGAAAGCTGCCACCGCACCTAGACAGGTGCGATGTGAAAACACTGTTTTTAGCGTTTTGAAAAACGAATAAGCTGTCAAAACTCAGTTTACCCAAACAAGTCATGTGCGTTTTCAAAACGGCACCGCACCAAATAAACTGCCCCAAACAGACCCTTAATTAACTGTTTATGCATTATATATCCAAAACTAAATCTAAAAAAAACACAAAGACATCTTGCAAATGAACAGTAATCATAGTATGCATTTAAAAAATTATTATTTTTATTTTTTTTTAAAAAGTAAAATAGCACATATGGATATATATTAATATATAAAACTATTTTCTACATAAATACTATCATTCATATGATTCAGTCTCACACAGGCAGCTCTGATCTGCCACGTTAAACCAAAAAGAAAGTCCAAAAAGAACACCTTTGAAAAGATTTAAATGAATTCATCCCATTAACATGATTGAAACACACGCTGCCAATTTTTGAAATTAAAAATGAAGCATCAAAATGGAATTTTGATGCAAATGCGACACAAATTTAGGATTTTTTTTAGTGATTGTTTACTCTCTCTCTCTATAAAACGTTCAGTTGAGGCGGGAAGGGCAGAAGAGGAGGAAGGAGATAGAGAGAGATGACAAAGAAAGAGGAGTTCGCTTTCTCTCACTACACGGCCTCACGTGCGGAGTTCGACGCCTCGGCGATGGTGTCAGCCCTCGCTCACGTGATCGGAGGTGGCAGCGGTGATGCCGGCGAGGTCGCCGCCGGTGGGGCCGGAAACTCCACAGCAGCTTTGCCTTCGGAAGCTCAAGGTAGAGAGAGAGAGAGAGAGATAGAGAGGATCATTTTATTTCTTTTATTAATTAAGTTAGCACATTATAATTCTAATAAAATTCGACATGAAAATCAAAATTTATTGTATTTTAGATTATCAACTTAAAAATATTGTTTTGATTTGATTTTGGCCACTTAATGTGTAGTTATCTAATTAAATTTATTTAATTTTATTAGTTGAGGTTATTTATCTAAATTGAGTAATTGCATTCATTTTTTTTTGGGGGGGGGGGGGGGGGGTGATTTGAATATGATATAGCACTTGAGTTTAATTAAGTTAAATCCAGGCCGATTTGGGAAAGTTTTTTTTTTTTCGCTAGTTTGCTTTTCAGACAGCCACCACAGTAATATTTGGGATATGTTTTCTTGTTGCTTTCAATAAATTAGGTGATAGAAAGCCTTTTTTTTTCAATCTGAACTGTTAAAATGTGGTGACTATTAGAAAACTACGATTTAACTTTTTGAAATTAAAATAAACTTATAATAACCATTGCAGTTTTTTGAGCAACAACTTCTTCTGTTGCAGCTTCATAGCCGCTTTTTCAAATAACTACACCTACCTCAAACATACGTATAAGAACTTCACACTTCACACTTTTTATGTAACTATGGATCTAGCGTCTTAACTTTAACATTTAATTGGATAGCATTTAAATCTTTAATACCACAACACAAATATCACTATTGAAAACATTTTAGAAGTAAGATATAACTTTTCATGAATAGATTTATGACACCGAAGTATGATAAATATATATATATCTTAAATTTTAGAAAATCTAATATACATACCACACAATTCTTATGTAACACCCAAAGTTTGGTACTTGTATTTATATCAATTTGGTGATATAAACCTACACATGAAAATATGTATTTCGCCTTTAGAAAGTTAATAATAGTGGTACTTTTGATATGATGTTAATAATTTGAGTTTTATGTATGTAAATATGAAAGTTAAACTTTGCAATACATAACTATATAAGAATTATGTCTTATATATGAAAATGCCTCTGAAATATAACTATTAGCGTGCAAATATTTAATAATTGTGCAATATGCACCGTACTTTTCTGCGTTTTGCAAACCTAAATTTTAGGAAAGCTGAGTTTTGCAACCTGACCTAGCTTATTACAGAGGTTGATAAAAGGTTATGATTTTCTTTTTTTTAATTTGTAATAACCACTCCAGTACTTTGAACAACAATATCTTCCATAATAGCTTCTCAACTGTTTCTTTAAAAAGCTATAGCTATCCCGAACAGATTCCAAATCTTAATTTGTTTAAATGTAAAATAAATTTATATTATATCATGATTTTGTGTAAGTTTTATTCATGCTTAAAAATATTTCTTATATATATATATATATATATACATGCATAATCCAATATCTCTCAACAACATGCATGCATGAAGGGAGCGAGAAGGAGAAGAAGAAGCATTACAGAGGCGTGAGACAGCGACCATGGGGAAAATGGGCCGCAGAAATCCGCGACCCGAATAAAGCAGCTAGAGTATGGTTAGGCACGTTTGAGACCGCAGAAGCTGCAGCAATCGCCTATGACAACGCGGCTCTCAAGTTCAAAGGAAAGAGAGCAAAACTCAACTTTCCTGAAAGAGTTCAGAACAGTGATATGTTCATGAACGACAGAGGTATATTAATCACACAGCAAAATCATCAAAGCTCTATTTCCACGTCTGATTTAGCGCTTTATGAATCTCAAGCTTCCACCATTTCTTTTGCTAGTCCTTCACAACAGTCTTTTGCCCCAGAGGTCATGCTTAACTTTGGAGATTATGATTCTGGTTCTTATTCCAGGCCTAAAAGGGCCAAGGGGGAGTATAGTCGCAAGGATATCATATAAACAGGGACATTACGTACATACCACACACAATTCTTATATATTTTAAATGTCCAACATCTAAACTTTTATATTTACATGCATGAAACTAGCTTAAATCTTTAATATCACATCAAAAATATCATTTTTATTTACTAGTTAAAAGTTAAACAAATATTTATATATATAGATTTTTGTCACCAAAATGTTATATATATAAATATTAAAGTTTAGATATTGTTAGATATGCAAATACATCAAAATTATGTGGTATGTATGGCATACATACCACCCAATTCCTATGAACTCACATATCATATGCCTGAACTTTAATTTTTATATTTATACTAGCCAAAACTAATATTATTTTAATTTAAAAAAAAAAAAAACAAAATATATATTTTCATGCATATTTACTCTTATGTATTTAGAGTTCAAGTGTTAGATACACAAAAACACATAAATTTAGTGGTATCTATGCAAATCTCCCCACCCGATACATTTTGTATCACTATCTCGTGTTTTTGATTTCAGGTGTTATATGTTATGATGTTATAACATGTGAGACATGAGTTAATTGACACGTAAGATTAAAATATTTTTTATTTTGATACAAAATAGATCGAGATATTCTGACAAAAAAAAATTTTTTTTTTGGAGTTTTAGAGAGCATCATAAGTTTTGATTCTTTGAGAATTTTTATCAAGGAATCAAATGGGTCATCATATGGCTATGTTTTCCCTTTTTTTTTCTGGGAAATTTGTAGCAGCTGGGCTTTTATTACAGCATTTTAGGGTTTATGTGAGATGAGAGAGTGAATGATTGCTGTTTTTGTTCTGATTTTTCTGAAAATTTTTATCAGAAGATCACATAGGTTGAGAGAGGGAGAGAGAAATTTTTATTCTGTATTGAATTATAAATTCTTAATTGGCTTAATTAATATGGTTTATGTTTGATACTGGTTTGTGTTGGGCATGTTTAAGTAAGCTCTATTTGCTTGGCTATGTTGATAAAATGATTGTTTTGCGAGGAATCAATTGGGAGTAAGGATGTTAACAACTTCATTGCTTCTTTAATGTTGATAAATGACAATTTGATGATGTTGATAACTCCCAACATTAGAATAGAGGTGACAGTGTCTAAAAGAGAGTTAACTAATAACTGTATTTTTCATTCCATTCCTGATCAATTGATTCTAATAAGATCTATTTATATAATATAAGTGATAGGATACTACAACAGGAGTATTAATGTATTAACTAATTATATAATTAACTTAATACAAGATATTAAGTAATATAGTATGTTACTTATATGTTCTTTAGGCTTGGCCTTCTTGTGAGTCTTTCAAACCTATGCTCCTTCTGAGGAGAAAATAATTGCTATGCAAATTTTAATATTAATGTTGTTTGTCTCATGAGCTCCAAATATCATTAGTGATATGATAATAAAAAATTTTATTTGTGTTAATTATTCAATGATATGCTCACAATCACAACAAGTTTGATGAGGCCTTTTATAAAGCCTATATGTCATTTCAACTTTGAAGTCCTAGTTTAAAATTTATTTTATTTGTAAAACCCTATGTTATATATATATATATATATATATGTATAAATACACACACACACACTTAAAAACCTCTTTTAAGTTTGGAATACAGATATTTTGCAATAATGGTATGATGACAATATTGAGGGTATGTTTGGGCAACTGTAACTATTTGAAGAAATAATTGAAAAATCGTTGTACAAGAAATAACTTTTTAAAAAAGTTGTGGTGACTATTATAAATTATTTTATTTTAAAAGAGTTAGACCGTAGTTTACTGACAAACACCACACTTTAATATCTCAGATTGAAAAAAAACAACTTTTTACCACAGAAATTTCTACTGATTTTTATGATGAAATACCATAACTTTGATATCTTTGATGAAATTGTGTTTTTTCATTATTAAATAAAGATGAAATGATTCATAAAGAAGTTTTCATATTGGAAGTCAAGACAAGAGGTTTATTCTAATTAAAGATTAGCTTAACACATGATTAGAGTTAATTTTTAATATTTTTCATTATTATTTATTTATTTATTAATTTGAACCAACATGAGTTCTGTTCTTCGCTTGTGCATTCGATCATCTACAGACCTCCTTGCAGCGCAAAAGCAAACGAAGCGGAAGGGGAGGGAGAGGGAACCGATACCATGCCAATGGAAGACAACGAAGCCGTATACGAGAAGTTGGGAGAGACGGAAAAGAGATTTGGGCTGCTTAGGGATCGTTTCCGCCTCTCCGTCATCGCCATTTCTGAGGCCGAGGGTACGTCGCCTAATCGAATCGTCTCTATCCCTCTCCTACATAGTTCTCATCCATCATCTTCGAAACAGCTAAGAAACAGGGGCTGGAGATTGCGGAATCCGTAGTGGCATGCATTTCCGACCTAGCTTTCAAGTTCACCGGTGAGTTTGAAAACCCCTAATCATTCTGTCTATTTCACTGACTTCCTTCCCGTTCGGATTTCTTTCGATTAAAACCTGAATTGATGTTCATTTGTCTGCGTGAACTAGTTAGTCATCCTCCCCAACATATTTACCACACATTGCAGTCGGTGAAATGCTGATTTGTCTATTTTCGGAATTGGGCAACCAATTTCATGAGTTACTGTTCTAAAACCGGTGATTTGAAAGATTTACATGCATGCCACTCAATTCCTATGACCACACACATTTATGAAAGATCTCTCTAGAAATGTTCCTTGGCAGTGCATACCACACAAATTTATGAAAGATCTCTCTAGAAATGTTCCTTGGCAATTTAGAATTTATGCTCTCTGCAATAAATTGAAAATGTAGTTTGTACATAAATCTTATGTACTGAACCAAGGTGACTTCAACCAGGCAAGAGTTTCAGGGAGGATGCCAAAGATATTTGCTGGGCATTTACATAAATACCATACAATTCCTATGTATTGTCATATCAAACACCTAAACCTGGTTTTGTTTTTGTTACATTTATACCATCAAAATCTTTCATATCACATAACAAATACCACCGTTTTGACTTCTAAAAAGGGAAATCTACCTTTTTAATGCATAGGTAAGGTGTTATGTATGTTGAAATTAAGTTTTGATGTTAGATATGTAAATTCATAGGATTTGAGTGGTATGTATGTAAATCTTCCTAACTCTGTCTCACGGAGAAATTCTCTGGGAAGCCAACTCCATTGCAAAGTTAGATGGTTTGGAAGATCATCTTCCTAATCTTAATCAGGGATATGTTGGCAGACTTTTGACGAAATCCTGTCAACTCGATGAGCCACATATATCTTTAAAGCCCCTAGATGCAAACTACAGAGAGTAAAAATGCAAATTTCACTTTATAGTGGCGAGTTTAAGAACTTTTTTTCATATGATACAAGATGTGTTTTCAGCATTATAATAACTTTAGCACTTGAAAAAATGTTCTTTAAGGGCTTTTACAATTTATAATTCAGCGAACAATCAATACAGAAGGTCGAACAAGCAAGCGAGCTTTACTTTCAATATTTTATGAGTTAAACAATAAGATGCATGAAAATACTATTTTTATTTTGCTTGAAAATTTCAATGTACAATTCCACTTGCTCTACTTACCCGAAGTAGTTATCTTTTGGGAAATTTACGTGCATACCAGACAATTGTTATATAAAAGTTTGATTTTTACACTTATAACTCCTTGGTCTCATAGATCTGTGAACGTAAAGATGTATTTTATCTTTATTGATATTTTTGATGTGATGTTAAAGAATTAAGTGGTATGCTTGTAAATATGAATGTTCAGGCGCTAGGTATGTAAATACATAAGAATTGTGTGGTATGTATGTAAATGTCCCATGATTAATATGCATGTTTCTCTTTCATAAAAAAGGAGCCTCATAATAAGATAAGGGAGAGGTTCATGTGTGTTGCTTCTGCAAATAGAAGGCTAGATGTTTGTTTGGTGATTATGATATCTAAAAACGAAGCTGGCAAATTAGGTTACCATTAGGATTTTGGTACCAACATGCTTTAGCTAAGCTACTTTGATATGTTGAAATTTTCATGTTTATTTTTTTATTTATAAAATTAACCTTAAAAAATTACATGTTCATAACTATTATGTTTTTTTTTTCTTTTCTTCCGAAGCAGAAGTATTAGCTAATGATGTGGGACTTTTTGCGCAACATGCTGGTCGGAAATCCATTAACATGGAGGATGTCATCTTATCTGGTGAGGTACAATCATAGTTCATTAGGGGCATTTACGTACATACAGATTTTACTTGTTATATTTATACAGCCCATATATTGCATATTATATAAAAATACAAATTTGAGATGCGACTTCTCATGCATAGTTAAGATGTTATGTATGCAAAAATTGAAGTTTAGGTGCTAGATATGTTAACACATGGGAATTGAGTGGTATCTATGCAGATTTTCGAAAAATACCATCATCTTAACTTTTTAAAAGTTAATACAACTTCTCATGCATAAATAAGATGTTATATATATAAAAATTGAAGTTTATGTGTTAGATATGTTAACGCATAGGAATTGAGTGATATGTATGCAAATCTTCCAAAACATTAATGTCATATTGTGTAATGTTTTAAGGGTGTTAAATCATTTTATATGAATTTTTTTATTTTCCAGCACATAGGAATGAACACTTGCTTGGTTTGTTGAGGTCATTCTCAAATGACCTGAAAGGCAAAGAGCAGAAGATTGGCAAGACGAGGAAGAGGCCTTTAAAGGAGGGAACCTTAAGTTAATTGTGTCCCACTCATGTTTTTATTGATAACATATCACTATTTTATGATCTCCACATTTTTGTTTTTCTTGTTAATGTAGTGATTACTTCTATAATTCAAATGTTCTTGATCGGATCTCCTGCGGATCAAGTCTTTATGAACAACATCATCAATCAGAATGAATCAAGAAATCCTTTGAAATGTATTTTTTTCCTTGAAAGGTGAATCAAGATATCCCAAGGTCAGGTTACAGCCGAGTCGCATACTGGGAGTCAAGTAATTCAGAGGACGAACGAATCAGAACTCAAACATTAATCGAGTGATTGACTTGAAAGATGGGCGAACAAAAAAAAAACAAGACAAAGTTAGAGTAGTTGTATGGAAAAAGATGAACATAGACCTACTGATACTATGATTTGATCGACTCAGGTATCACTTAAGAAAAAGTTAGCCTACAGGAAAGTGAAGCACCGAATAACTGTCGAGTGCAAAGGAAGAAGCTGGCCGATAAGGAGTTAGTCGATTAAAAAACAATAGGGGCGTAATTGTTATTTTACAATATCTTTAGTTCCCTGTATAAATAGAGGAATGTTAAATGTAAATGGGGACCACATAAACTATAAAAAAGTATCTAATTTATTTATCTCTAGCATTATTTTTTAGATATGATTCACAAAAAATTATTGGTTCAACATCCTTAATGTTGCAGTAACGTGGATCATGATTAAAAACAATAGGGTTGTTCATCGTCAATAAGCGAGTTGCTCTGCCCTGTGAGCTTATAAGTTGAGGACATATACAAGAAAAAAAGTGCCTCGCACGTGTAGCGGTTGCGACTTGGAAGATTTTCCACACCCTTAACAAGTTATGTACTCTTATTCTATTTTTTTCTTTGTTTTTTTTTGGAATATAACTCATCTCGACCATGCTGCTAAAACAATGGCATCCACAATATGAAAACTTATTTTCTACGAAATTTCAGCAACAAACAAGTGTTTTTACTCATTTTTTATGCACGTGCTTCACAAATCAACATGAGTCGAAAGACTCAAATAACTGGCTCGACAAGAAAACGACCATTGTCGGACGACTAATTACATGACTGGGGAAACTCGACTTGCGAACTATATGATTCGGGGAATCATGAGCATCGTGTACGAGCGATCTAAAGGGAGCTCATCGCCACTCGACTGTGCTTGATTATCTTATCAAATCTCGACTAGCATTAATTACTCGTTCATCTCCTAGTTGCCCCCATATTATCATTTATTTGAATTGGCTCTCAATCGGTGTCTATCATACGACTATTTGCATATTTGTCTTACAATGCCCAAGCACCAAAGAGCCCCTCTGCCCCTCGTGTTCAGAAACAGGTAAAGCCCGGATGACTAGATTCCTCCCTTTGCAATGTAACATTCCACATTGAGTAGCATACAAATCATCCAAAAGGCGAGTCTAAACAGATACCTCCACAAAGACTAATTAGATATGCTTACGTTTGGTGTAAGGCACCCCCCTATAAGGCAATGATTTAACCGAAGAGGCGAAATCAAGCGAGATGGGCATGTTAAGATTTGGGTCGGGCATCAGAGTATCATCATGCAAGGCATGAGCATTTCTCCCCATGACACAATCACAAGTTCTGGACATCTTTAGGCTGCTCTGTATCACATAGTTGTCAAGAAACCCACAAGATATGTTAACACATGGGAATTGAGTGGGATCTATGCACATTTTCCAAAAATGCCATAATTTTAACTTTTCAAAAGTGAATACAACTTCTCATGCATATGTAAGATGTTATATATGTAGTTTACGTGTTAGATATGTTAACGCATAGGAATTGAGTGGTATGCATGCAAACCTTCCAAAACATTAATGTCATATTGTGTAATTTTTTTAAGGGTATTAAATCATTTTATGTGATTTTTTTTTTTTCAGCACATAGGAATGAACACTTGCTTGGTTTGTTGAGGTCATTCTCTCATGATCTTAAAGGCAAAGAGCCGAAGATTGGCAAGATGAGGAAGAGGCCTTTATAAGAAGGCACAATAGCCTTAAGTTAATTGTGTTCCACTCATGTTTTTTTTGATAACATATCACTATTTTATTAGCCCGCATTTTTTGTTTTTCTTGTTAATGTACTCATTACTTTTATAATTCAAATGCCTTTGATCGGATCCCTGCGGATTGAGTGGTTATGAATAGTCATCAATCAAAATGAATTAAGAAATCTCTTGAAAGGTATTTTTTTTTCCTTGAAAGGTGAATCGAGATATCCTAGGGACAAATTCCGACCGAGCTACCTACTAGGAGTCAACTAACTCAGAAGACGAACAGATCAAAACAAAACATTAATCGAGTGATCGACCCAAAAGATGGACAACAAAAAAGCCAGACAAAGTCAAAGTTGCTACACGTGAAAAGACAACCAGAGACCTACTGATACTATGAGTTGATCGACTCAGGTATCACTCAGGAAAATGTCAGCCTGTAGGAAAGCAAAGCACCGGATAACTGTTGAGCGCACAAAAAGGAGCTGACCAGTGAGGAGTTAGTCGACTAAAAGACAATAGGTATAATTGTCATTTTACAATATATTTAGCCCCATATATAAATAGAGTAACGTTAAATGTAGAGGGGACCGTGAGAACTATAAAGAAAGTATCTAATTTCTCTCTCTGTAGCACTATTCTTTGAGTATAGTTAACAAAGAAATCTTGGTTCAACATTCGGAAATTTGTAGTGAACGTGAATTATGACACAAACAAGAAGAAAAGTAACTCATGGAGAATAAACAACATAGACAAGACTGGCCATCGTCAATAAGCGAGAAGACCTTGCCCTGGGAGCTTATAAGTTGAGGACTTATACTGGAAAAAAAGTGCCTCACACATGTAGTGGGTACGCCCTGAAGATCTAGCATAGTGATACGACCCGTACACAAGTATTCACTTTATTTACACTATTTGTTACTAATTGAGAGTGGTGAACCAGAGTGCTTTGTGGAAGACACTCCAGTTGAAGTTTCAAGGGAGTGGGAGCTCGCCATGGATGAGGAAATACTGTCTTCGGAGTCAAATCAGACTTGAGATTTGATAGTATTACCAAATGACAAAAGTGCACTACACAACAAACGTGGGCCTACATGCTGAAAGAGGAGTCAGATGATAACAAGTGCTGCAAGGCAAGAATTGTTGTGAAGGGTTTCCAACAGAGATGAGTGGATTACATAGTGATCTTCTCCCCAGTGGTGAAGATGACGACTGCCAGGGTTGTACTGAGTCTGGTAGTAGAAGAAGATCTATATCTAGAGTAGATGGATGTAAAAACAACTTTCTTACATGAAAATCAGAAGGAAGAGCTATACATGGTGCAAACACAAGATTACAAGGTTTCAGACAAAGAATGTTTGGTCTGCAAATTGATGAAGAAACTTTATGGCTTGAAGTTGACCCTGAGACAGTGGTACAAGAACTTTGACAGGTTCATGTCAAATAATTGGCACTTGAAGTGCCAGCCAACCCACTGTTGCTTCATCAAACACTTCAGTAATTGTTATATTCAGCTTCTTTTGTATGTTGATTACACGTTGATTGCGGGGGTAGATATGAAGAAAATCAGGGAGATAGGAGTGCAGGAACACTGAAGTTGTTTTAGAGAGACTATGTTTAAAAGATCCTATAGAGGTTCAAAATGAGTGAGAAGAAACCAGTTAGCTTCCTTTAAGTATTCACTTCAAACTATCTAAGGAGCTATCACCTAACTTTGAAGTAGAGCAAACATAGATGGAGAGAACTCTGTATACTTCAACAGTTGAAAGTTTGATGTATGCGATGATTTGTACGAGGCCAGATAATGCATATGTAGTTGGAGTAGTCAATAGGTACATGGGCAATCTAGGCAGCCATCATTGGGAGGCGGTAAAGCGGATTATTGGGTATTTGAGGGAAACAATCAACATGACACCTTATTATGGAAGTGCATGGATCAATCTACATGGATTTGTAGATTCATATTTGACAGAATATGTGAATAGTAGAAGAAGTACAATAGGTTATATCTTTACATTGGGGAACATAATGGTGAGTTGGATTTCGAGGTTGTAAAAGATTGTTGCACTTTTAAATATGGAGGAAAAATATATTGCTATTGCTGAGGCTAATAAAGAGATGATTTGACTACAGAGTTTCATGATATTATTGGGCAATGAGCAGATGATTGAAAAACTCTGTTGTGACATTATGAGTGCGATTTATCTTTCTAAAAATGTTACTTTTCATGCCAGGACGAAATATATCTAGTTTAGGTATCATGTTGTTCGATCTCTTCTAAAAGTTGAGCAGTTATTTCTGGAAAAGATACACACAGCTGAGAATCCTGTGGAGATGTTGACGAAGGTCGTGACTGTAGAGAAACTGAAACTTCGCTGGGCTTCAGTTGGGTTTCATGAAGGTTGAAACCAGGGGTGAGCCACACCACGGTACATGACTATGAAGGTGATTTAGATAGAGATGCAGGTGTAGAGGATTGGTGCCTGGTGCTATCGTTTCCAAGTATGAGATTGTTAGGTGTGGAGTTGGAGCACTTCAGTCGAGCACCTGACACATATGCGACGAGTTGTGGGTGCCTATGCACCCACTTGAGTGTTGTTCGATTAGCAAAGAGCATGGCGTATGCGCCAGCCCATGGATGCATATGCAACCACTTTTGACATTGGCGATGCTTTGATACAAAGAGGCTGACACATAAACTTATGCACCCAATTCAGACGCACGACTGATGCTTTGGCGCTTATGCCTTAAGTCCGGGCGCCTATGCACCAGGTGCAGTTGGCTCTCAATCTTTCAGTTTTAAGTTCGATTTTAAGCGGTGTTGGTGTTGTAAGGTGTATCTTCCCTCAACTTTCTTCGACGAGCATCCTGGTGAAGGTGAGAAGGGTCGAAGAGGTGGATTTCGGTAATTCAGCGTGATTTTTGTGTCGGATTGTGGAGCGTGTCTTATAAGTTTTATTGTATGCAAATAGGATAATGGTGAAATTTCTTTGTAAAAACTTTCTGAATTTTATAGTGAAATATTTGGTGGTTTGATTCCATGATTTTTTTTTCAATTCTCAGGTTTTTCCACGTAAGATTCTCGTATGCTTTTCTGGTTGTTTTTATTGTTCTTCTGTTTATAGCTTTTGTTTCAGTTTTCTCAAATCATTTGCAATTTTTTTATTCCGTGGTGTAGGTTAGTTTCTAGTTGATCCTCATTTTCAGGAAAGTTGTGAATTGTTCTTGGAATTTCCTATCCATATGTTCAGAAGGCAAATCTATAGTTAAAAAGTTATGTTGGCCATTTGATTTTCTTACTAAGAGCAAAGATAAATGTCATCACGAGACAATTGAATTCAACATCACTTGCGTCGGGACGAACCCGAGTCGAGTTAAAGGTGTCGCAACTGTTTACATATTGTAAGTTAGCGGTTCACCCAGAAT